GACTAACTGATGTTTTCTAGACATCATCTTGGGCCTAATACTTGCCTATTTGTGTGCAGTCACATAGAACAAAACTTCTATTCTAAGGTAGTCAATAAAACGAAGGTCTGCCTAAGTTTTGTGACTTTCATGATTACAGCTAATTTACTGCTGTATCTACGAAAGAGCTACCAACGTACACGAAGTTTAGTAGTTACTCTGTTAAAAACGTTAATAACGCTTCCCTTCCTAGTAATGGCGATATTTACAAGCTTTACTAGCTGCTGCCTAGTACCAGTATGACGCGAAGGTTGTAAAATACGCAAAAAAAACTTGTAAATACACGCGTCTACTAACCATTTACAATCATTTTTTTTCAAGAACGTGGCTCCAGCCAGTACACTCGCTCCTTGTGCTCATGGCACTATACTATGACACAATCTCTTGAGCTGTCCAACAGTGTAACTTCACTGCTATCGTGCTGCAGTATGTGTACGGCGTCTGCTCCTGACGCACAAATCGGGTCATTTGATTTCACTGGAGCTTCGAACATCTTGGCATCGACTCCTGAGCACCACTTCTGTAACGCTGATGCCTACGGCACGCTAATGTGTGCGCCCTACCTTCTTCCTGGCGCATATATTGCCACATGGTTTGCTTGGGTGAGATCGAAGAGTGAAAGAAGACAAAGACGATCTCTCTGAGCTGCTGCTTGGGTAGTCAACCAAATGAGCCCTTTTTTTTTATAAAAATGGGCTCGTTTAGTCGACTACCCAAGCAGCGGCTCAGAGAGATCGTCTTTGTCTTCTTTCACTCTTTGATCTCACCCAAGCAAACCATGTGGCAATATAAACTGTGAAGTGTCCAAATGCTACCTGTCTCACCTATCGCATATGACGCGAGTGTCGTGTTATTCTATATCAAGTGTGACGCGATTGTTGTGTTATTCCATATTTACTATTTATTTACTATTTATTTATAGAATACTGCGGACAAAAAGTCCAAGTAGGGTGAGAATACATGAAACACACTAAATAACAGAATGAAACAAGGTTGCAAAGCGTTTTTTACACAATTTCTTTGCATATAAGGCAGAGGGGTTATGACTTCAAAAAAAAATTTACAATTGAACAACAAGGTGATAATAAAATTCAAGGAAGTCATGGAAGAAGAGTATTTACACAAATGGTCAAGGGCATTGAGGAAATGCTTCAGTTAGTTTATTCCAATCATCTATTGTTTGTGGGAAGAAGGAGTACCGAAAAGTATCAGTCCTTGCGAAGATTGGCGTTAGGGAATGAGGATAGTGATGTGGAGTGGGTCTGCTTAACAAGGGGGATACGTATGCTGCTGTGTCAAAGGTTAGCCTGTGGTTTACTATGTCTGAAGAAAACAGTAGCCGACTTTTTTTCTTCAAATTTGTAATATTTTTATACCATTTGCCGTTAGTAATGCAGTGGGGGAGTTGGTTGACATAAATTTACTATATATAAATAGTACTGCTTTTCTTTGAATTTTTTGTAAGTTTTGAACGTTAATTTTTGTGTAGGGATCCCAAACTATGGGGGCGTACTCAAGTTTAGGCCTAATTAAGGAAAAGTAGGAGAGGATTTTAACACTAGGCGGAGCAGTCTTGAGCTTGTGGCGGAGAAAGCATAATTTACGGAAAGCGGCAGAGCAGATGTTATTTATGTGCTAATTCCAGGATAAGGTACTTGTTAACGTTAAGCCTTAGTATTTATAGGAGGCTACTTTAAGTAAAGGTGCTTCAGCTAACTTGTATGTGTAGTTTAATGGGACCTCTTTGCGCGTTATGGGGAGATACACACATTTGATTGCATTAAGAAGCATTACCTATTGTTCACACCATTTTCATACATTGCCTAAGTTAGTATTAGGATCACATTGGTCACTAATGCAGGTTACATCTCTAAACAAAACACAATCGTCAGCGAAGTAGACGAATTTGTACCGGGGTGCTAATTACATTGACAATGTCAATAATGTAGACCAGAAACAGAAGGGGGCCTAGTACGCTCCCCTGCGTAACGCCAGAAGTCACCTGAAGGTAGCCCGATTGTTTTTCTCCTACCTGAACAAATTGGTTGCGATTGAGTAGATAAGCTGAGATCCAGGAAATAAATAATTCTGGTATGCCAACTAACCGAAGCTTTATAATTAATTTATCGTGTGGAACTTTGTCGAATGCTTTACTGTAGTCTAAGAATATTACATCAATTTGGCTGTTAGCATCAAGAGAAGCTGCAAAGGTATGAACGACAGTCACCAATTGTGTTGTAGTAGAAAATCCTTTTCGAAACCCATGTTGATGATTTGTTAAAACTGAGCGTTCGTCTAAGAATTCATTTAATTTATGAGCTATTATGTGCTCGATAGGCTTACAGCAAGATGATGTTAAGGAGATCGGTCGATAATTTTGTAGTACTAGACGGTCACCTTTCTTGAATATAGGAACTATTCGTGGCAACTTCCAGCCATCTGGTGATTCCGCTGACAACAGAGAGACTCGAAAAACGACGAGTAAGTATTTTGCAGCAGACTCTGCAAAGCGACGCAGAAATATGTTGAGGATATTGTCGGGACCGCAAGAAGTCTTAGTCTTTGAGTTCAACAACATATCAATGACACCAGAATAAGAAATAAAGTTTACATTCGCAGCATTGTCCGCATTTATGACAGATAGGGAAAGCACTAGGAGTACAAAATACACAATGAAAATACTCATTGAGGTGTTGAGCAATGGCAGCCTGATCAGATACCATTGAACCATTGACAAAATCCTGTGATATGGGTTTCTTTTTTTTCGCTAATATAGTTCCAGAACTTCTTTGGATCATTCTTAATGAAGTTTGCGAGTGACGTATTGAAGTAGTGTTCCTTCGAGGTGTGTACGGCATGTGCAAGCTTATCCAGAGCGTCAGCTATAACTTTGGGGTCAGCATGCTTCTTTTTAATCTTTTAACTTTACGCTTGAGATGAATTATGCTTTTCGTCATCCAGGGCGTATGTGTATGCACCTTGTTACGTTTAGAAGAAGAAGAAGAATAACTTTATTTATGAAGTCCAGCGAAGTTGATTTGGGGCGGGCCTAGGCGTCGGCCACGAGCCCTTGGGCTCGGGCGGCTTCCTCGGCTCGCTGGACGGCCCACAGTTGTTGTTCGAATGAGGAGCTGAGCAGAGCCCCCTCCCAGCGTGTCCTGCGGTCCGAAACTGCCTCTTCGTGGTTTTCATCGTTGCTTTCATCTAAACTCGAGCATTCCCATAGTATATGTGAAAGTGTCGCCCTTTCATCGCAAACCTTGCATTTTTCTGTTAAATACAGATCAGGGTAACAGAGACTAAAGAGAACTGGATTCGGATAAGTATATGTTTGCAGTTGTCGCCACGCAACTGCCTGTTTTTTATTTAACCTGTTGTGTGGCGGAGGGTACTTTCGCCTTTCTAGCTTATAGTGCTGCGTTATTTCGTGGTAACTAGTCATGCGGTCCCCCCACTCCCACTCCCCCCCGCGTGGAACTTCGTCCGAGGCGGCGTCGGCGTTCGCAACGGCTCGGTTCGTGAGTGCTCGAGCCGCCGCGTGCGCCGCCTCGTTGCCGGCCAGCGGGGTTTGTGTGTGTGCGGGGGTCCATATGACGAAAGTGTCATTTTTTTCCCGAATTTCGTCTTCGTTAGTCATTAGGATTCGCAGCGCCTCTCGGGAGACACGACCGTTCGCATAGTTGCGTATCGCTGCTTGCGAGTCACTAATTACTACTTCGGCCTCAGTGGTCGCCACCGCGAGTGCTATGGCCACCTCCTCGGCCGTCTCGGTCAGTGGCGTTTGCACCGTAACGCTCGTCATGCATGTCCCTTTACCGTCGACCACCGCGGCCACGTAACCACACCTTCGCGCGTATCTGGCCGCGTCCACGAATACCGCTTCCTTGCAATTTCCGAATTTTCTCTGCAAGTCCTGCGCTCTCTGGTTTCTTCGGCCGGTGTGATGTTCCGGGTGCATATTTTTGGGCAACGGCGGAATCACTATCTTTTCCCTTACCATCACGGTTATGTCGGCTTTTTCGCCTTGCTGCGTGTGATAGTGGATTCCCAGTTTTTCGAGGATGTACCTGCCCGTTTTAGTCTTAGAAAGTCGTTCATACTGTGCTACGTTGTGCGCTTCTATTAATTCGTCAAGCGTGTTGTGCAAGCCTAGTTCTAATAATTTCACTGTGCTTGTGTTCATGGGTAAGCATAAAGCTTGCTTATACACTTTCCTGATTAAGCAATCTAATTTTATCTTCTCGGCGACGTGCCAATTCAAGTAAGAGGCAACGTACGTGATTCTACTGAGGACAAAGGCTTGCACAAGTCTAATAGTGTTCCCTTCTTTCATACCACTATGTCGGTTCGTAATTCGTTTTAGAAGTCGGATACGTTTAGAAGGTATAAATTTTTCGATGCAGTAGAAGCATATGCGTTAATATGGTGTATAACTCGAGCTTGAACATTTAATAAATGTGTGTGTGTGTGTGTGATTGTGTGTGTGTGTGCGTGTGTGTGTGCGTGAGTGAATGCATTTACGCTTATGTGCGTGTGTGTTAAGGTTGCTTTTTAATCTGTGTGTCACTTTTAGCCATAGTTTCATGGCATGTAGGATGTTTGGAAGGGTCACTGGGGCCGTCCAGTAGCTTTCTGCTTACGGGCGTGTTCCTGTTTTGGAGTCACCAAAATATTTGAGAGATGTTTACATTATTTTTGTCACATCGTTATTTTTCCTAATGTGCTCTTAAAGAGTTCACAATACCCTGATTGACGAACTGTACTAGGAAGAAAAAATAAAGAGCTACCTTCCACAACGCCATTGAAACGTTTCAAACTATGATTACAGTAGCTTATTACAACGTTCTTTTACTCTTTGTTTATGAATTAGCGATTACAAAGCAGTGTATTTGCAGCAATAGTAATACATTTTGAGGTATGAAACCCATATATCATAAAGCTTTGTGGAAACATAGACTCACCATTGCTCCTGTAGAGTAACCTAGCAAGCAGGCAATCTTTTCCAGCAAACGCAACGCTGTATGTCACAGGCTTACCTATTTAATGAAGAACTATAGCGTAATCAATTTATATGAACTTTTTTGCTATGTTAGAAAGTAATTGGACATTTACAAACCTAAGTAAGTGGAACTTGAAAAAGTTTAGCACCGTTCCATTTTCTTGCATAGAGCTGGCAGTGAAGTTCTTCAGAAAGTTAATCCTGAAACAATATCAATAGCGTGCTCCCTGTATAAGAATTGGTATAACACGTAAGTTAGACGTGTGTTTACAGATGTACCTGGGCAAATATTGTGCATTGTTGCAGCAAAAGCCACAGATCACAAAGAACTTAGGAACGGCAAACAGCTTGAAACTTTCATGGCACACAAGTTGAGCGCGGGTCAGACTCTGTCACAGCTTGACACTTTTAAGGTGGTAGGCCACGTTCAAAAGTCATTTTTTTTGCAAAATAATGTTTTTATACTTTGGTTTTTCTTTCACGCCCAAACACTCACGTATATGTTGAAACAAAAATTATCCTCCTAGCGTCAATAGTTTGCGAGTTACAACAAGTTTTCTATACCCTATGCTCCTATAGCACAACCGAAACCACATTTCCAGCTGTAGTTTTGGTTTCGAAAAATTGTTTTCAAAAGCAAGTGTTGTTTCGTCTATAATAATGCTATTCAAAAAGTTTATGCATTTTAATGTGACTGTTATATAAGATGATGTCATTAATTACAACTTTGTGTTTAAAAGTCTTCGTTATTCTCTCAACAGCCTTCGTTATTCAACAGCCTTCGTTATTCTCTCAAAAGTCTTCGTTATTCTCTCAACAAGAGGGACGCACGATGGTCGTCGGAAATTTTGTTGTTTGCTTTCGTCAGGCTATTTCAGCCCTCGTTCTCATTTGTTCCACGTGTCAACGCTACTAGGGCTGTATCTTTAGGCCACCTGGGCCATATTACGACCAGTATTGAGAAGTGCAGAACACAGAAGACGAGTAAGGGCAAGTTTGCAGGAAATCGCTACACGACGACGAGGGTGCCTACTGAGACAGACGCCGGTATTTCAGCGACCGCGAAGAAGCTTGGGGACATAAACAAGGTGTACCAGGCCCCACTAGAGAATTGTGCACTCTAAGGAAACATGATAATGGACATTGGTATTCTTTCTTCAGTGTTTTCATTGCTGACATGTTCCGAATGCATGAACAGAAGCTCGAGAAACGCTCTCACCAACGGATATGCTCGGCTTGTGCGGTCGTGTGTACTGACTGTGGGTTCAAGCGCCCATTTCATACGTAGGGAAAGGTGGGTAGTGCCGATGAGAACAATTTACATCTGGTTTACGCGATGCGCCATTTAAGAAAAGGGCACGCTGGTGAGAAAACATTTCCAAAGTGATGAACATGCCTGCTCCTCCACATCACTCTGTCTACGATAAATTGTCATCTCGGCTTTCTGCAGCGGCAGGAGAAGTGGCTTGGAAGTCAATGACTGATGCTGCTGTGGAAGTTCGTCGTGTTGTGAGGAGTGCAGAGTGTGGTGTTTCAGGTGATGGCACGTGGCAGAAGCGTGGCCATTCATCTTTGAACGGTTGTGTGTCTGTGATTTCTGTTGACACGGGAAAGGTTATTGATGTTGAGGCCCTTTCTAGTTCGTATAAGTCATGTAAAACCAAAAGCAAGTTGAGGCAGGATAGTGCTTCGTACCATGAATGGAAGGCAAACAACACTTCCTGTCAAGCAAACCATGAAGTGCTGGCAGTATGGAGACGGTTGGTCTATACCGAACATTTGAAAGGTCGAAAGGCAAAAAAGATTTGAAGTACCTGCAGTACTACGGCAATGGTGGTTCTAAGAGCTATGCCACTGTCAAAGACATGTATGGAAAGGACAGTCTGCAGAAACTGGAATTTATTGGGAATGTCCAGAAGCGTGTTGGCTGCCGCCTCAGAAAACTGAAGAAGACAGTGCGTGGACTCGGTGGTGAGGGAAAGCTCACTGATGCCCGCATTGACCACCTGCAAAACTGCTATGATGGGGAACCTTTCTGCAATGAAAAAGGCTACCCTTGCCAGTCTTTTTCAATGCAGCTCTACCGACAAGCAGCCGAGACATGGCCCGTGTCCACTTGGACCGAAAAGCTTGTGCGGATACCGAAGGGTTGAAGCACTCGGTCAAGGGAAATATGTACACAAGGGAGGACTTCCAAATGATGTGCTCAACAAAGTTAAAACTGTCTACAGTGATCTGTGCTCTGATAAACTTCTAATGAAGTGCCTTCATGGAAAGACTCCAAATGCTAATGAGTGTTTCAATGGTCTAATATGGCAGCGGGCACCCAAAGAAGTCTACGTAAGCTTGCCTGCAGTTATGTTTGCCTTGCATGATGCTGTGGCACACTTTAATAATGGCAGTGTAAGCACCCCAGATATCCTGAGGCAAGCTGGCATAGAACCAGGGTACCACACGATGACAGCTTGCATCGCCAGGGGTCACCTGCGCATGCAGAATGCTAAACGCAAGTCAGCGGATGGGACAAAACAGGCCAGGACGAAAAGACAATCAGCCACCCGAACAAAAGGAGACAATAATACTTCCGCAGAAGGGCCCAGCTATGAATCTGGTGCATTTTAGGCCTGCATGCGAAGATTTTAACCCTTTTTACAAGCTCGGAAAGCTTTGTTTATATTTTCTGAAAATAATTTGCTCCGAATGTTGGGACGCAAACGTTTATAACGTATTTCTCGGCGTATACGCTGAACTGAAATTTTGCACAATATTTTACAACACATATATCTGTGCAGTGAACTAGAATAAAATAAGTCCATCGACTATTTTTCAGTTCGCAGCTGAATTCTCCAACAGGTTCAGTCTAAATTGGTTCTTTTTCCCCATTTTTGTTTTTTTAGCATTACTTCCTTGATATTCACTAGATATTATTTATTCTAGTTCACTACACAGCTCCTGCCATTAGTCACACAAATGTCAAAGATTTGCTGAATAAAGCCACCCACTAGTCACTTATCACAGCTGGCGTGGCTAGCACTTTTAATGCAATTTTCGACAAAAATTACCTCCCAATAAATAAATATTCATTGTTTTGCACTGTAAATAGCTGGGTAAATAAATAAGACATAATGGTTTTGTGGAAAATGTTATTTCAACGCTGCTTGCCCTTGAAAAATTTTTGTTTTTGAGTGGCCTACCACCTTAAAGCACGCTGTTGAAACAGAAAGAAAAAAAGCACAAATTGAGCGCCAAGAAACACAGGATAAGCGCGAAAAAATGTCGCAATTATTCTTGCGTCCTGTGTCAGAGGCACGCTTGTTTCGTAAACGATGTCGTGGCCGCTTATAAAGTGTGACCTTAGTCCTCTCCCAAAGAACGAATCTGATAAGCGTGCTCAGGAGGGACAACGCTTTGCGGGGGTGGTGCTTTGTGCAGGCGATGACCATTCGAGCACGCCCAGCGCTAAAGCCCCCTGAAGCGAGCCTGTCGTGCCATCTCACCGCTGATAACAAAAACGCGCTAAATTTTCGAAGTTCTTAGGACTGCCAGACAGGGTATGGTGTATATTGTCACGGTGTTTTGACGTGCCTGAGGGCAGGAGACCGGATGGTCGGATAATAAACTAGTTATTCGGACCTAACTTGTGGCCACGTAAAAGGAAAGTGAGATTACAGTAAGGCACTGGTGCTGATCGCGGCGGGCAGAGCGTCAGCCGTCGATCAACTGACATGTGGCGAAGCGCGTCGCTATTTATACGCTTGCCATGAAATGTTCTAGCATTATCGCTAGTGGTGCCGTAGGTTCCAGAATAATCTGTAATGTTCAGGAAGTGGGCGTGCTCCTAACAAAACGATCTACTACAGCCTTGACGCTTTTCAAACATCGTAATTGCGGTTTGCGCAGAACGTAGTGTAACGGGAGTGATAACAAAACTTGAGGAAAAGACCGTGGCATTGCCCCTCTCTGAAAAGGCATCGTCCCGATGCTCTAACAGAATAATAATGTAAGAAAGTACAAATAATAAAGTCAAATACAGCAATAATAACAATAAATACAAAATACACTCCTTCAGTTCGCTAACATTCATAAAACGGCTTGAGTCGCGTGACATGGACAAGTTCCGGTTGCAATCGGCGCCGTTTAGAGTTCTTGATGCCGTCGAGGACAACTTCACAGTCGAGTGGGCCGAGACGACGTAACACCCTGCATGGTCCGAAGTACAATCGCAGAAGTTTTTGACTGAGTCAACGTTGGCGTATCGGCGTCCATACCCAAACACGTTGACCAGGCTGGTATTCAACGAAGCGTCGCCGAAGATTGTAACGGCGGCGGTCCGTCATCTGCTCATTTAAAATGTGCAGGTGGGCGAGTTGATTGATTGATATTGGAGGTGTAACGTCCCCACATCAGCATATGATTATGAGAGATGCCGTAGTGGAGGGCTCCGGAAATTTCGACCACCGGGGGTGCTTCAACGTGCACCCAAACCTGAGCACATGGGCCTACATTTCCGCCTTCACCCGAAAGGTGGGCGAGTGGGCGACCTTTTTTAGCTTGCTTAAGATAGAGGGTGACGTCGAAGTTTTATTCGTCAGCGACGTTGGGCAGCATTGCGTCAAGTCTCGTTGTCGGGTTCCTTCCGTAAACCAACTTGTACGGTTGTATCTGTGCTATCTCCTGTACAGCCGTGTTGTATGTGAAGGTCACGTGCGGAAGGATGGCGTCCCACGTCTGGTGTTCGACGTCGATGTACAGTACGGTCCACTGTTGGGGGAACACGCAAACGCGTGGCCAGTGGCTCGCGTGGCGCGAACTAGTGGCGAGATTTGTAAATGTCGCGCACGCGCATAAAAGCGCAAAGGCGGCGCTTGTCGGGTTTCGTCTGCTACTCTTCGCCTCTTCGCTTGCCGAGAGGTTTCGTTGTTCCGTGGCGCGATTCATGCCACTGCCGTTCTGCAGGTGCCCTGTTAGGTAATCATCAGGTACAAAAAAGGTGCAACTTGTTTCTTGTTGGGTTTTCTGACCCCTTCTGTGCGATTCACGCCCACATTAGTCTATTTTGATGAAAGGAGATAAACAATGAAGAGTCATGCGTTTAAGTTATAGACACGTTATTAGGCACCTAATAAAAATTATAAGTGTTTCCCATGACAGAACAGTAATATGATTATGAGAGACGACGCAGTTAAAGGCTCTAGA